TTGCCACTTGTCCAGCTTCGTAGGGTAGGCCAGGAAACAAACCAGGGGCTCCCATATGGCTGAGCAGCAGCATCCAGAGTAACTATGGTGGGACCTGACTTTCTTTTTTTCCTTTTTAAGTTTTGCCAGAAGGTACATGTGCTTGCCTGAGAGAGATGGGGGTAGAGGGGTAAGAAAGCAACCCCCTCCCCACATGGGGAACCTTCACACCATAATCCCTTCTGCATTTCTCCATCATTTGGGGATTTCAGGCATGCATGGAAACCCACCTGGTATGTTTTGCAAGCTGCTCTAGCTCCCTAATGCCACTCCATGGGCTGGCTAGGACCTGACATTTTATTTATTTAGTTAGTTAGTTTTGCTATAGCATGAGTGTACTTGTCAGAGAGAGACAGAGAGAGAGGGAAAGTAAGGGATCTCCCCTGCACTTGTGAGGGAACAGCCACCCACATCTCTTCTCCAAGAGATTTTTGGTATACAGGTACCCACACCCAGCATGTTTCAGGTGGCCGTCTGGGATCCAGCTGCTTTAACCTCCATATCACCTGCTGACCTGTAACTTTTTTTTTTTTTTTTTTTTTTGAGAGAGATCTTTGCTATAGGGCGAGTGCACTTGCTGGGGACACAGAGAGACAGAAAGCAAGAAATTACCCCCTGAGGTGAATGGCCAAGCCTCAATCCCTTCTCCTCCATTCTCCTCTTAGATTTTGGGCACTCATGCACATGCACCTGGCTTTTTTGAGAGGTTTTTGCTATAGGGAGCGTGCAGACAGAGAGAGACATAGAGACAGAAAGCGAGAAATCACCCCCCAGAGGGGATGGCCATGCCGCAATCCCTTCTCCTCCATTTTCCTCTCGGGATCTTGGGCATGCACGCACACGTGCCCGGCGTGAGTTTTAAGCCACCGGGTCCGGGATGCGAACCGCAGTCGACTACGTGGGAGTCCAGCGACATAACCATTACACTAACTGCTGGTTCCCTGACCTGTAACATTTTTTAACAACAGAATTGTGTATCATTTTCACACCAAGATTCTAATTCAGAAGTGGTTATATATATTAAAACCCATAATTAGGACTTAAAAAATAGGGGCTGGACAGTTGGTGCAGGATTAAAACTAAACTCTCTGTAGGGTTTGTGCCCAGGACGTCCCTGAGTATGCCGGGTATGTGTGTGCCCGTGATCTGGGACTGGCTGAAGCTAGGAAGGACAGCAGTGCGGAGACCCTGTGGGGATGTTGTCACTCTGTCTCTCTTGCTCAAGGAAGACATAAATAAAACTTAAAAGACTTAAAAATGTCTTTGAGAGGTCAGCAGATGACATGGTGTTGCAGTGCTGGACTCCCACATGGCCAACTCTATGGTTTGATTCCCGGACTTGGCGGCTTGAAAAATCATGCTGGATTTGTCAGTGTGTGCCTAAAATCCTAAGAGGAGAAGAGATTGTTGGGACCAGCAGTTAGCGTAATGGCTATGTCGGTGGACTCCCACATAGTCAACCGTGGTTTGAGTCCCGGACCTGGTGGCTTAAATTCACGCCGGGTGCGTGTGCGTGTGTGCCCAAGATCCCCAGAGAAGAATGGAGGAGAAGGGATTGCAGTGTGGCCATCCCCCCTGGGGGGTGATTTCTCGCTTTCTCTCTCTCTCTCTCTGTCTAGCGAGTGCATGCACCCTATAGCAAAAACCTCTCCCAAAAAAAAAAAAAAAAGAGAAGAGATTGTGGTGGTGTGGCCATCCCCTCCTGCGGGGGAGATTTCTCATTTTGCCCCTCTCTGTCTCTTTCCTCATGCATGTACCCTATGGCAAAAACCTAAGGAAAAAAAATCTTTTGAAAGATAATAAGTTTCCCTCTTTACCCATTCTCATGTGAACTATAGAAGACAAAACTAATCCACTAATTAGGGGCATAACTAGAAGAAAAGATGATTATTAATTTACATAAGTATTTTTTGAAATATTTATTCAATTTTATTTATTATTTTTTAATCTGACCAGAGAGAAATACACACACACACACACACACACACACACACACACACACACACACAGGGAGAGAGGGAGAGAGAGACACCATGGAGGGAGGGAGAGAGAGAGACAGAGAGAGAGAAAATGAGAAAGCAAGCCACCAGGTCCAGGACTCGAATCATGGTCCATCTTGTGGGAGTCCAGCGCCTCAACCACCACGCCACCTGCTGGCCCCAATACATCTTTATTCTTAGAAGATATACTTTTAATTCATTCTGAAAGTTTTCTGTGAGATTGGATATTTCATAAAACTTAAATTTAGAGATATAAACCTCGTTATTTACTAAGAGGGACTGAAGACATGAACATTATTGACAACCAAGTTTAAATAAAACCATGATTAAGATTTGGGGATTCATGTTGCCATGGATATTAATTGATATTCTGGACTTTAGTTACATATATATTTAAAGAAAAGTCTACATGGAGATTATAGTTACCAGTTTGATAGTTTCTTTTATAATAAGGTTTTCCTCATAGACAGGAAATTTCATATGATCTGTTAGTTACATTTTTAGGGAGAGGGAGAAGAGAGACAAGGAGTGAAATTACTTGAAGCCTACAAGAAAAACAAGACTGGGCTGTTTGCTTCTTGTAGACTGAAAAAATACTTTAAGCCCAAAAGAGAACCTAAACATAAGAATTCTGACTCCTACTTGGGATAATTTGGCCCTAGAGAGTTTTTTCATTCATGGCATTTTAGAACTGGAAGAAAGAACACAGATACACACACACACACACACACACACACAAATTAACCAATTCAGTCATTTATTTTCAGACTGGGAGAGTCACAGTGTACCCTGCTGTCTGAAAGTCTTTTAAATAAGAGGATGAGACCTGAGTTAATTATTATACTAGACTGGATTCTATAACTTTGTTTTACAGAGAATACAAGCTAGCATTCTGAAAGCATTTAACAACCCAACTACTAAAACTGCTGATGATGAAACTAGAAAAAAAGTCAAAGGTATGTTAACTCTTCTGTTAAAACTTTTTTTCTAGAGGGAGATATTTAAAGTTTCGTTTCAGGGGAAAACGAACTGAGCATTATGTGAACTAATTCTTTGAAGTCGTGGCCTTAAAAGGAGATGTTCTTACTCCAGTGGCTGCAAGACACTGATGGGACATACAAAAACGTTAGAATGTACCCATGTAAATTTTTAAAAATAAAACTAATATCAAATATATAGATCGACACTGATGCCTTCATGTGAGGTCTTCTAAAGGAGGCTTGCAACTGTTTGTGCAAAGTAGCAACCTCACTTGGAAATTCACATTTATCATATGACGTTATTTTGCAGTTGGCTTGTGTTTAGATTTAGTGGATCTATGGCTATATTATCTAGTTTTAACTAGACAAAATAAGTAAGTGCTCCAAAGACTCCTGCAGAGAAACTATTGAAGAGAATACTAATAAATCAAGCTTATGTGCAATTTGCCTACTCTTAGTGTTTGATTTTTATCAATCAAAATATGAAATAAAGACTAATCAAAGCCAATAATTTATAATTATAAGTAGTGCAGTGTGGTTTATGTGCTATGATTTTGGTATTTTATCTTGTCCTTAATGTGTATCCTGCCTTGAGACATTAATGAATGTTAGTATGAAGTCATAAGTTTTAGAAGACATTTAAAAATATTACATATTTTATTTATTATCTATATATTTTATGATAGTTTCTGAATGCACACAATATCTGTAATTTATTAACAAATATACATGCACTGTTACTGTATGCTCCAAAACTATTAGTGTGCAAGATTTTTTATAAAAAGATTCTCAAGTATGCGCGATTCATTTGTGTTAAGACAGTGCCATCTAGTGCATGTTTAGAATAGCAGCCCAGTTTTTGTCCCCCTTTCCAGTTTTGTAATCTATTTTCAATCCCTTGTACAATTTTTCTATGAAATGCCTTACTTTACCTTAGTATTTCTAAATAATTATCATCTTAATTAATAACTATTTGTTAATAATGTGCAGATAGAAGTCTGATCTGTCATTTAGTGCTTCCCATAATGTTTTAAATGTTATTTGTGTGAAACATGAAGCCAAAGGCCCAAAAAAGATAGAAGGAAGTTTCACAGAAAAGTAAGTTTCTCAATACACTTTCTCCTCCTAGGTTTATTATAGAAAATTTCAAATCTCTATTAAAGTAGAATACTATAATATAGACCCTTGTACCTATCACCCAACTTGAACTGCATTCATGGCTTATCATGTTTAATCTATTTTCTCCAAAACCCAGAGTATTTTAAAGCAAATCACAGGTGTAGTTTCCTTTGATTTATAAATATTTTTTGAGTAGAATATTCTCACTTTTAAAACTGTAAGCATGTCTGTATGTTTATATAGACTATACACATGAGTCATTAATGGGCCATGTCAATTCCTTACACTACCCTGTGTTTGTCTTTTACAACTCTGCTGTTCTCATAACCATGGTCCTAGCATCTGCAGCCCTGAAGGCTCCATCTCCTTTCCTTTTCCCGTGTCTGCCTTAGGTTAGACACAGAGGCTTTAAACGGTATAATGGGAACAGGCGATGTGATATGAATAGCAGCTGTTCTATTTATTTTCTCTCTTAAGAACAGGTTGTTGTTTTTTGGAGAATTACAGTAGTTGACAGTGATATTTCCTCTATAAAATCGTAAAGGAAAGACATTATAACATATAGTAAAATGTATTACTTTTGTGGTGTAGGATATTAGCCTTTTTGAGGTTACTTTTGAATAAACAGAAAATAGCATGTTACACTGTTAGATGGATGATGGACTTTTTTTTAACATTAAAAAGTATGATTTTTACAGCATATGGAAAAGAAGGTGTGAAAATGAACTTCATAGATCGGATCTTTATTGGTGAATTAACTAGCACAGTCATGTGTGAAGAATGTGCAAATGTAGGTACTCTGGAAATTCACTTCAACATGGAATAGATTCCAAACAATTAGTCTTATCGAATTTTCTTTCACGTGTAATCATTGGCAGTCAATTTTTAAATCCTGACAGAAATCTATATAATTATTCTTGAAAGCGTTATTTAAATATTTTACTTTATACTCCTAGAAAGTGAACATAATTTTTAACTATTTTTAAGTAAATATGTTTATATGTGTTATTTTATTTTTCTTCTTGACAGACCTGTGAGGTACTTTTAGCCTTTGTTAATATTAGGTGAAATGGGGACCAGCAGTTAGGGAAATGGCTATGTCGCTGGACTCCCATGTAGTTGACCGTGGTTCGTGTCCTGGACCCGGTGGCTTAAAACTCACGCTGGGTGTGTGTGTGTGCGTGCCCAAGATCCCGAGAGGAGAATGGAGAAGGGATTGTGGCATGGCCATCCCCCCTGGGGGATGATTTCTCACTTTCTGTCTCTCAGTCTTTCTCTGTCTGGCGAGCGCACGCGCCCTATAGCAAAAACCTCTCAAAAAAAAAAATTATGTGAAATGTTATTAGCTACTTGTTCAGATTGAAGAGAGAAGCTTCTGTGAAAAGAGTAAGGGTATAACATTTCAATGCCCTGAAATGTAATATTACAGAAATAATTTAATGTATTATAGTAATGTAATATAACTTAGGGTGATACTATAACATTTTATTTCAGGTTTATGGTATATGACTAGTTTTTTTTTTTTTTTGGTACATATATAGATTTGATTCTTCTTTAAAATTGCCAAGAGGGCATGCATGCTTGCAAGAATGAGAGAAAGGGTGTCATGCTTCAGTCTTTTTTCCTGTATTTCTCCATTCCATCAGAATTTGGAGGCATGTACGCACATGCGCTCAGAATATTTTTCAGAATGCTCAGGCCAGGATTTGAACTGCGGTTGGCCATGTCAGATCTGACTCCCAGTGCACAGCCCCACATTGCTGTGGGGCCAACTGTTGACTCTATTAGTGATAAATTTTATTTTGAAGCTGGGTGTGTGTGTGTGCGTGCCCAAGATCCCGAGAGGAGAATGGAGAAGGGATTGTGGCATGGCCATCCCCCCTGGGGGATGATTTCTCACTTTCTGTCTCTCAGTCTTTCTCTGTCTGGCGAGCGCACGCGCCCTATAGCAAAAACCTCTCAAAAAAAAAAATTATGTGAAATGTTATTAGCTACTTGTTCAGATTGAAGAGAGAAGCTTCTGTGAAAAGAGTAAGGGTATAACATTTCAATGCCCTGAAATGTAATATTACAGAAATAATTTAATGTATTATAGTAATGTAATATAACTTAGGGTGATACTATAACATTTTATTTCAGGTTTATGGTATATGACTAGTTTTTTTTTTTTTTTTGGTACATATATAGATTTGATTCTTCTTTAAAATTGCCAAGAGGGCATGCATGCTTGCAAGAATGAGAGAAAGGGTGTCATGCTTCAGTCTTTTTTCCTGTATTTCTCCATTCCATCAGAATTTGGAGGCATGTACGCACATGCGCTCAGAATATTTTTCAGAATGCTCAGGCCAGGATTTGAACTGCGGTTGGCCATGTCAGATCTGACTCCCAGTGCACAGCCCCACATTGCTGTGGGGCCAACTGTTGACTCTATTAGTGATAAATTTTATTTTGAATGCATTCTTTAACAATTTAAAGCATGTATGATTTTTGTAAATTTTTGATTGCTTGGTAAGTAATAGTTCTGAAAACAGAAATATTAATTTACAGTGTGATAGATTTAAACTTTATCTGATTTAAATTTTTTTAATACACACTTACCAGAGAGACAGACAGAAAGAGGGGTAGGGGAAGAAAGCACCCCCAATGAGGCACATCATATCACAGTCCTTTCTCCTCCATTTCTCCATCCTGCTGGGACTTTGAGAGTGTGCTGGTGTGTTTTTCAGCTGATGGGGCCAGGATTTGAACTGTGGTTGGTCATGTGGGATCTGGATTCCTTTATCACTAGCCTACAGGCCTGAAGAGTCAGAGTTTAATGGTGAAAGAAAGAATCTGTATGTCCATTTTTCTATCCTAGATTATAGATTACTTTTCTGTTTTTTTTCTTGTCTAATAAAACCAGGACTGCAGATTATATCTTTTAGCCTGTCACACTGAAGCACAGAATGTGTCAGTATGATATTACTTAAATTTTTAGAATAGTCAATAGGGGGCCGGTAGGTGGCATGGTGATTAAGGGTGCTGGACTCCCCATGGCCAACCATGGTTCGAGTCCTAGACCTGTCGGCTTGCTTTCTCACCTTCTCTCTCTTACTCTGTCCCTCAAAATAAAATAAAATAAATAAATAAATAAATAAGGTTAAAATTTTAAAAATTCTTTAAAAAAATAAGTCAATATAGAAACTGATTTGCCTCTCACTTTTTTTTTTTTTTTGAGAATTTTGCTCTAGGGCGCGTGTGCTTGCAGTGAGGCAGAAAAAAGAAATCACCCCCTAGAGGAGATGGCCATGCCATAATCCCTTTTCCTCCATTCTCCTCTCGGGATGTTGGGCGTGCATGCACATATGCCTGGTGTGAATTTCAAGCTGCTGGACCTGGGACTCGAACCACATCGGCCATATGGGAGTCCAGTGACATAATCATTACACCATCTACTGGTCCCAAGAGTATCTTTTATTTATGTATTTTTTAAAGAATTATTTATTTAATTCCACTTGTTATTATTTTTCAGTTTGACCAGAGAGAGAGAGAGAGAGAGAGAGAGAGATAAAAACGCAAGCTGCGAGGAGAGAGATAAAAAAGCAAGCTGCCAGGTCTGGAATTCGAACCACAGTTGGCCATGTGGGAATCTAGTGCCTTTAACCACTGCACCACCTGCCAGCCTGCTAGAGTATCTTTTAAAACAGTTATCCTAAGGCATCTGTAATTACAATTGCACTGGAGGGTTTTTCTTTTTTTTTTTTTTCTTAACATTTCTATTTTGTTTGTTTGTTAATTTTATGAAAAATATGTTTAGTCTCTTTAGTCAATCAATTTTATTAAACACAAGTTTATTTTGAAGTTCCTTTAAATATATAGGTTAGACATATTGACATTATTATAAACTTCAACTGGTTTACATTCACTGAAATTTGGAAATATCTTATTTTGATTAACAATGTGCTGTGATTCCCAATTAAGTCACTATTCGTTCCAGGAACATGTTTTAAACTTAAAATTTAAGTTCCTCGGGAAGCTCAATTTGATACTTTATTAAATTACATGTCTATACTAGAATTCTAACTGAAGTTCTCAATCTGTTTCCTTTTCAAGATCTCCACAGTGAATGATCCTTTTGTTGATATTTCACTTCCTATAAGAGAAGAAAGGGTAAGGGGAAAAAAACTGTAAAATGGGCTTTTGTTAAGAGCATTTATTTATACATCTATTGAGTGTATTGTCATATATCTGATCTTTTTTTTTTACATATAATTAAGTTTTTACAGTGTACTTGACATTGGGGTTTGTATACATGTGCAAATAGTATAATATAGTTCTTATATGTAAGGAACTTAAAAATCCTTATGTTTTATATTTTGAGAGTTAATGTTAAGACAATTATCTTTATATTTTAAGTTAGTTAGAAATTTTAAAATGATAACATTCAGAATTTATTTGCTAAAGAAATTTTGTATTTGAATATGACATCCATATAGGTTTCAAAACCTGTACTTTTGGGAAGAATGAATAAATATAGAATCTTACAGAAGACAGATCATGATCAAAGCAGTAGCACTGTTACTATAGAAAATACTCATCAACCCAGAGCCTCCATGAAGCATGCTTCATCTAAAGAGAAGGTAAGACTATGAGTATTTGTTAGACATGTAGGCTTTTTTTTAAAATATATATAATCTTTTAACATATTTTTAAAGAAAATGTAAAGGATATACAAAAGCAGAAAATATAGTATAATAAACTCCCATGTACCTGTTTCTTACCTTCATAATTATCAGCTCATAGCTAATCATGCGTTAGCTGATTTATCATGCTTTTTCTGTCCCACATTAACTTCTTCTCCCATCCTAGGTTTTTATGAATCAATCCAAATATGTACTCCAATAGATAGCTCTAAAAGACAAATACTTTACCATCATCATACCTAATTATATGAATTATCTCTTAGTAGCACCAAGTATTGTGTCATTATTTAAATTTCTGCAATTGTCTTATACATACTTAGGTTTTGTTTTAAACTTTTCTTCAGTGTTTTTTTTTTTTTTTTCTTTTTGCCATAAGGCAAAGAACATTTGCCAGAGAGAGAGGGAAAGTGAGAAATCACTCCCCCAATCCCTGAGGTGGGGGATGGCCATACCACAATCCCTTCTCCTTCATTTTCCTCTTGGGATTTTGGGCACACTTGCACACATACCCAGTGTGATTTTTAAGCCACCAGGCCTGGGACTCAAACCATGATCAGCAATGTGTGAGTCCAGTACCTTAACCAGTACACCACCTGCTGGTCCCATAAAGCTTTCTTTTCAGTAGTTCCTGTTTTTGTTTTTTGTTTTTTCCCCCCAGAATTAATTTATTGTTCTTTGGTTCTAATTTTCTAATTTATATATATATATATATATATATATATATATATATGTGTGTGTGTGGGTGTATATATATGCGCTAGACAGACAGAGAGAGACAGAGAGGCAGAAAGCGAGAAATCACCCCCCCGGGGGGATAGCCACGCTGCAATCCCTTCTCCTCTATTCTCCTCTTGGGACCTTGGGGCTGCACGCACACGCACCCGGCGTGAGTTTAAGCCACCGGGTCTGGGATGCGAACCGCAGTCGACTATGTGGGAGTCCAGTGACATAGCCATTACACTAACTGCTGGTCCCGCTAATTTATATTATATACTTAAAGAGAATACTTTAAGTGAATCAAATATTTTTCTATCCACCAAGAAGAAAACAAAAATGGAAATAGGTAATTTTATATTTCACTGGTGGTAGGAGGGAAAAAGGGATAGATAGACTAGTCCTCTTCAGAAGTTTCTAAAACCAGCTGATTGTTAGAATCATTAAAACATTCACCAATACAACTTTAGATCTATGTAATCAGTGTTTCTAAATGGTAATACTATATATTTTAATTTTTGTTATGGGGCACATGTGTTCACCAGAGAGAGATGGTAGGGGTGGTGAGAAATCCCCCCAGGGGGATGACCATCTCTCAGTTCCATCTCCTCCATTCTCAAACTTTTGGGAACACACATGCGCCCAGCGTGTTTTTCAAGCTGCTGGGTTGGGATTTGAACTGTTTTATCTTTGTAACGCAGTATCACGAGACACAGAATTGACACTTCTGAGTCTGATCAAAAAACAATTTGTTGGCAAATCAGAGACTTGTTACAGATCAACTATTTTTCTCCAGATCTATATAGTAGCCAGGCAACACTATGTTATCATAGAGCATGTAATTTACTTTTGTAATTTTTAAAAAGTAGGTAGTACACTTTCTATATTTAAAAAATCACCAAGTATAGGAAGGCTTATATTTGAAAAGTTTGCCCCCCAGCCCTGTTTTACAAAAGTTCTTTTCCCTTCCTCACAAATAGGTAACCACTGTTGGTTTCTTTTGTAAAGATTTAATTTAGAGGTGTTTGTTAGTGTACTTTCCTTTGATCTTTGTTTGGGTAAATTTAAGAATGGATCCTAGAGAAATAGTATTCTTTAATAAGGGATGCTTAAATGAGATTTGTGGGCAATGTGTTTTCAATAAGGTCACAAGATTCTTTTCTCTGAAAATACTGTCAACTTACAGAATCAACAAATTCATGATAGAAAACGTGTAAGAAAATTTTCATCTGGAGAAGAGAAAACTGTTGTCATATACCGGAAAAGTGAAAACCTTGAGATAAGTGGGGATTCTTCAGTGTTTGCAAATACCGTGAATACTGAGTCACTTCTGAATGAAAGCCCTACCGATGGCAGTGAAAAGGAAGCCAGCCACTCTGAAAGTAGTGTTGATGCTGACAGCGAGGCTTCCGAATCTGAAAGTGCTTTACAGCAGACGGTGTTGTCTAGATCCCCTAGCAGATCCTGTGTGCACCCAGATTCTCAGCTTCCCCTCCCATCAGCAAGTGAACTGCTGCACAGCAAGGAGACGGACAGTGATGATGGAATGGCTGAAGCTATTTCTGAACTTCATTTGAGCAGTACTGTAACTGTAGAGAGGGATTTTCACAAAGAAAATCAGCCACTAAATGTTCCAAATAATTTATGTTTTTCAGAGGAGAAACATATGAGGTCCCACAGTCCCCAAAATGCTTTTCAGACCCTTTCTCAGAGCTATGTAACTACTTCTAAAGAGTGTTCAATTCAGTCCTGTCTCTATCAGTTTACATCTATGGAATTACTAATGGGGAATAATAAGCTTCTATGTGAGAACTGTACTGAAAAGAAACAAAAGTACCAAAAGGAAACCAGTTCTGCAGGTAATTAAAATTATTTATTTATTTATTGATTTATTTATTTATTTTAAAGTATTGATGGGTTATTTGAGTAGTGGATTACAGATTCTCAAATAGAGGAACCTAAGTATCTCACTCTATACTTGAGCTGTTTGGGTACAGGGATTGTTTTATTCATGTTTGTACCCCAGCAGCTAAGACCCTGCCTAGACAGAATAAATCTTCACTGAAATAAGTTGAAGGGCACGAAGTATACATCTCTGTCTTGAAAATGCAAATCCACCTGATAGAACTAACAATCTGAACTAGTTCCAGAAGAAATATTACTAAAATTTATAATTATATCACTATATATATTAATGAGATTAATGTTATCAATCTATCCATCTGCTGTAAACTCAATATAAGAGGGACCAGCAGATGGTGGAATGGTTAAGTCCTATGTAGTCCACTGCTACTAGAGTCCTGGAATCAGTGGCTTAAAACTCACACTGGGTGCATGTGCATGTGTGCCCAGAATCCTGAGAGAAAAAAGGAGAAGGGATTGTGGTGTGGTCATCCCCTCCGGGGGGACAGTGATTTCTCACTTTCTTTCTCTCTGTCTCTTCGGTGCGCACAAGCTCTACAGCAAAAATCTCTTAAAAACAAAAAAAAAAAAAGAAAAGTGGCAAAAATAGAAATTGTCAAGTAAGAAACTTTCAGTGTATCTCTAGCCATGATTAAACTGGAAAGATTCTGATTCCTAGTGAAGCGTTGTTTTAAAACAGGTTTTATTGTTATCCAGGTATGGTGAAGCTAAGTGATTAGGAAATGACTGCCACTGAAAAAATATTAATAGTTTTAACTCTTGGTTCCCGAGAAATGGGGCAGGTCATCCTACACAGTGCCACCCTGGGAAACAGGATGAGTAAGCAGCAGAAGGAGCAAGGGAAAGGAATAGGTGAGGCAGAGTAAGCATTAGAATGTTCCTGAGTTCTGGGTTACAGGGGCTGTTCAGGTTACAGGAGCTGTAGTTATCTGGTACTTGGCACCGGAGTGATTGAAGAAGGTGGACATGACCTGGAGTGTAAAAGCCCAATTAAGGAAGTTGTTAGGCTCTGGCTTGTTTGATTTGCACATGAAGGGCATGCTTAAGTTTATTATCTGATCAAATTTGCTATCTCAGGAGGAGTTATCCCTCCAAAGTTAACAAGACCTTAGATGTCAAAGCATGAGAATAAAGACATGCTTTATACACTAGTAATTAAAGAAATAGCTAGATTGGAGAAAGAAGAAATACCAATTAATTTTAACCCAAGTTAAATATGCAATTGGCCATATTCAAATCCTATCATAAATCCTTTATAACAATCTCTTACTGAAATGCCCATGGCTCCCCATGGTGTGTATTCTCATTGCACTGCAGTAAGTAATCAACCCAACTTTTTCAATTACAGGTGTATTTCTGGCCATCTTTAGCTAAAAGGCATCGATATAAATTATGGCTAGTTCATCTGCTTTCTAGCTGCCAAAATTTTGTTGCAAGTATCATTTCTTTTATTCTGTCTTAGAAGTGTGTGTACCTTTTCAAAAAAGTCCTCTTTCACTTAATGAAATTTTGGAAAGGAGTACAGGCAACCTATAACAAAAAGTTCAGTTTCTCTGATGTTTTAAAAAATGTGGCATGCTTCTGTACAAATATTTATTTTATGGCAGATAAAATGTAAAATGAAATTTTACAAATAAATTTATTGTGTTTCATGTAGAAAAGAAAGCAGAAGGGATTTATACTAATGCTAGAAAGCAATTGCTCATTTCTGCTGTTCCAGCTATCCTAATTCTTCATCTTAAAAGATTCCATCAGGTAAATATCCCTTTAGTAGCACTGTAGTCATTTTCATTATGTGTTTTATAGAGTCCTAAGTTCTGGAAAATATTGTTAAGGATTCAATAATAATTTTTAAATTAAAAAAAATTGTCATATGGGAACCAGCTGGTGGTACGGTGGTTAAGGCAGCTGGATCCCACATGGCCAACTCTGCAGCTTGAGTCCTAGACCTGGAGGCTTGAAAAACACACTGGGTACACTAGCTGCATGCAAGTCCAAAAGTCCTGAGAGGAGAATGGAGGAGGAGGGATGCAGTGTGACTATCACTGCCCCCCCCCACCCAAGGCATGCTTTCTCACTCTCCCTCTCCAGCAAATGCATGTGCCCTATAGCAAACTAAAAATAATTTTTAAAACAACTGTCATATGGGATTTTGCTATTTAAGCCATAATAAAACATTTGTAAGACTTTTCTAATTATTGTTTAATTCACAATATCAGGTTTAGATAGTAGGAACCTAAATAGTATTCTAGGTGTGTAAGATGGAAAGTAAGTTTTATTAAGAAAACAAGAAGTAGCAAGGTGCAATGCCCTTCTGGACTCTCATGATCCTGCTGAGAAGGGTGCTCGGGCTGAGCACAGTTGTCTCAGACTAAATGCAGAAAAGGCTCCAAGGCAAGCCTTATACCTGTAGGAATCTACATGGGAGCCAGTCAAAATATGCCAGGTTTTTCTCTATTTATAGTTTTAACCCAATGCCTTGTCTTCACTTTTTTGGGGTACTTTTAAAATATTATTTTAAAATTATTCTGGAAGAATGAGTAAGTGAAAAATCCTAAAATATTTTAAAAGGAAGGAATTATTTTTTGATACCTGTTTCAAAATAAAACCATAATAATTAAAATAGTATGGATAGAATTGTCAATAAATAAAACATGAGTACTGTACTTAGAAGCTATTACATTTATGATAAAGAATTTCAAATTATTGGGTTGTCTTGAAAGTCATGATGTAGTTTTGCATAGAAAACATAAAAAAATATGTCATGACTTTTCCAATGACCTAATATTTGAGAAAGGAACTAGATTTACTTAGTGAAGGATTTAAGAAAAATAGTTGTTTGAGGAAATAAATAAAAACTTTGAGCTTTACTGTATATAATATATACATTATTTCCAAACAGAATTGTTAAAATTTTGCAAGAGGGCACATGTGCTCACCAGAGAGACCGAGAGAGAGGAGAAAGCGTTTCCCCATGGGGCATGGTCATGCCATTCCATTTGTCCCTCCTTTTGGGATTTTGGGCACACACACACACATGCTCAGCATGTTTTTTCAAGCCATAGGTCTGGACTTGAACTTCATAGTTGGCCATGTGGGATCCAACTCCCTTAATTACTAGGCCTTCAGCTGCCCCTCATATAAATATTTTAGTTATATAAAACAAAGGATCAAAAAAGCTTAGAGAGGGGCCAGCAGGTGGTGGGGTGCTTAGGGCATTGGACTCCCATATGGCCCACTGTGGTTTGAGTTCTGGACCTGGCGGCTTGCTTTCTTACTTACTCTCTGTCTCTCTCTGATGACTATAGCAAATTAAATAGTAATAATAATAATAAATAAAATAATTCTTATTAAACAAAGGCTTTGGGAAAACATAAGTGAACTTCTAAAGAATATTTTATTTTATTTTATTTATTATTATTACTTTTCTTTTTTTAAAAAAATTTGACCCGTGAGAGAGACAGTGAAGAAAGAGAGAAAAGGAAAGTGAGAAAGCAAGTCACCATGTGTCTAGGACTCGAACTGTGGTCAGGCATGTGTTAACCCAGTGTCTTAACCACCATACCACCTGCCAGCCCCATGAGGTGAATTCTTAACTTGGCCTCTGTGTGAAAAACTAAGTATAAAACCCATGAGAGAATTTCAAGGAAAAATATTGAGAGCCTTGTGACATTTCAGGTAGGCAACCAATGGACAGGAAGAGATTTTTCCCTCCACCTCCGTTCTAGTCCACAGAAGGATTAAGTTCTTGATTTTCGATAGCCGAGGTTACAGAAACTCAGTGGGAGCAAAAGGGCCAGGGAGAACAAGCACAGATGTATCGTCTTAGCACATCTGAATGCTTATGGGGAGGATTGCATCTCAGTGACTGCCAACAAGAGAGGACCATGTCAGATTGCAGTAGCTAATTTCATGATTTGCCACAGTTTTATATTTGGTGCTTAAGTCTCTGTTTAGGAACAACTATCTTAAAGAGTTTGTGTCCTTCGATGGAAATATTGACGGACAGCTCAGTCCCTTCCTGTTATCAAGTGAAATGTAATGTCAGCAAAGCCACATTTCCATTTCCAGGGTTGAGAATTGTGTAGAGCAGAGTCCTTTAGCCAAGTGTCTGTTCCTAGATTTATAGTATCTCTGAAAGCCTTTTCTCTGTCATCACCAGAGCTACATATCGGAAACATCTATAATACATGAAGGCACATATAAAACTGGACAGAGATCTTTGTCATAAGTATGTGAAATGATGAATATTGTAATTATAAAGAGCTCTTAAAAATCAATAAGAAAATGATCAAGCATCTAATAGTTAAGTGAGTAAAGAACATCAATTGAGAGGTCTAGAAGGGAAAGTGAAAATTCTAAGAAAGTACAAAAAAATTCATCCTTCTGAACAAAGAACTGTAAAATAAAATGTCAGATTATTATTTTTTATACTCTTTGTTTAAAAAAAATATTTGTTTATTTTTATTTGACCAGAGAGGGAAAGTGAGAAAGCAAAGCTGCCGGGTCTGGGACTAGAACCATGGTCAACCATATGGGAGTCCAGTGCCCTTAACCACCACACCACCTGCTGGCTCCCAGATAATTTTTTTAACCTGTCCAAGTAAGCAAATTTATAGTAGTGATGATGAAAAAAAAAGTGGGATAGAAGTATTCTCATTTGCCAGCAGCAAGGGTGTAAGTTGGTAACATCTTTTAGAAAACAATTTAGTAATGGTCAGCAAGACCATTAAGTAATGTTTCAAATAAAACAATTTTTTTAAAGAGTAATTGTTCTTGACTAAGTAATTTAATTTCTAAGAACCTATCAAAAGGAACTAAAGATAAACATAATGTGAATCACTCATAGATTATGACAGATTAGGCCTAGCCTAAATGTCCAGTGTTCAAGCCATCAGATATATATATCTTCTAAGAATTATTTATTTTTATTTATTATTATTTTTTAATTTGGCCAGAGAGGAGAGAGAGAGAAAGTGAGAAAGAAAGCTGCCAGATCTGGGAATTGAGCCACAGTCAGACATATGGAAGTCCAGCACCTTAACCATCACGCCACCTGCCGGCCCCTCAGATTTATATTTTGGTGGCACAGGGAGAGTATTTGCAATCTATCATCTGGGTGAGGGGAAAAAAAAAAAAAAAAGCAGGGGACTGCAAATGTCCAAAAAAAAAAAATATATATACACACACACACACACACACACACACACACATACATATATACATATATATGTATATACATATTTTTTTGAGAGGTTTTTGCATGTGCTTGCCAGAAAGACAGAGACAGACAGAAAACGAGAAATCACCCCCCCCCCAGGGGGGATGACCACACCACAATCCCTTCTCCTCCATTCTCCTCTTGGGATCTTGGGCACACACCCACACCTGGGTGAAGTTTAAGTCACAGGGCCCGTGCCTCGAGCTATGGTCAACTACATGGGAGTCCAGCCACGTAGCCATTACACTATTTGCTGGTCCCTAAGGCTAGATATTTTTTAAAACTTATCATTCGGGAAAAGATCCATCTTTTCTATTACTGGGATAGTTTCTCAGTATCAAAGTACTGATTGAGGAGGACATGTTAGCCTGAAATCATCTCAGACAGTGCTGGAATATATCAGCTGCTTACAGAGGTTACCTGATGAAAAAAGAGACCAAAAAAAAAATATTAAATACAGATGAATAATTCTGAGGCATGACTTTATAATTTAAAAAAATTGCTAGTGGATTCATGCTCATAAAGACAGAGAATGGGCTTCCCAGTAGAATATGGTCATGCTGCAATCCTTTTTCCTCTATCTCTCCATCCCATCAGGATCTGAGGCACACATGCATATGCACCTAGTGTGTTTTCTAAGCCACTAGGCTGGGGCACAAACTGTGGTTAGCCATGTGGCATCTGTCTTTGTATACACAGCACTTAACCTCTGTGCTATAGGGCTGGTCCGTGAGTTCATAGTTTTATGTCAGATATCATGTTAAATCATCATCTTTTTATTATTAATATATATTTATTATTATTATTATTTTAACTTGCTATAGGCACATTCATTCATCAGAGAGAGAGAGAAGAAAAGTGAGAGAGCCAGCCACCAGGTCCAGGACTTGAACCTCAGTTGGCCATGTGAAAGTCCAGTGCTTAACCACCATACTACCTGCCAGCCCCATCATGTTAAATCTTCTAAAGATCATTTGAAAAACAAGTCAGGGACTGGCTCAATGGCCTAGTGGTTAAGGAAGCCAGATCCCACATGAATGACCATGTAGTTAGAATCTCAAGCCCAGCAGTTTGGAACACAGGCCAGGCATGTGTGTAGTGTGTGTGTATGTACATACATGCTCAAAATCCTCACAGGATGGGAAGATTTCTGTCTCTCAGGCAAGTGTACACACCCTCTACCAGAAATTTTTTAAAAACATGTCAGTGGGCAAAAGAAATAAGCTTTTTTTTTTTTTCTTTAAAGAATGGTAAGAAATAAGGCAGCAGATCTACAGTAAAATTATGTGATTAGTATGCAAATAAAAAGACAAATCATTGAAGTTAAGACAGCCCAGCATGGAAGTCTTTATCTTCCCAAATAATTCTTATCCACCCAAAGTGGATCCCACCACCAGAGTCTATTTCTATTTTGGAGCTCCAGCAAAATATCTTTGATAGTCTACCAGTTGGTTTCTGTTTTGTTTTTTAAGGTTTTACCATAGAGTGCAAGTGCTCACCAGAGAAACTGAGAAATCACTCCCTAGGAAGGATGGCCACAGTGCAATTCCTTCTTTATTCTCCTCCTAGGATTTTGGGCATACACATACACCTAGTGTGATTTTTAAGCCACCAGGTCTGGAACTTGAACAAACCAGTCAGTCATGTGGGAATTCAGCATCTTAACCATCACACCACCTGCTAGCCCCCCAGCTAGTTTTTATTACCATTAAATAGTGCAATGCATACACTGTTCAAGGTCTGCCTTTAGAAATTAAAAATAGAAAAAGAGGTAGCACTTAACATGTAGGTTCATATTGATTTATATAATAATAACATTTATTGATAAAATGTTTTTGAATGGTCAGATTTTTTTTTTCATAATGGGTATCATTGAATTTTAGATCTGAAAAGGATCTAATCTCATCCATTTGTACTTGTTTTCTGCTTTGACCTAGATGAGTTCGCCTACAGTCAAGTTTAATGTTAACCAGTCATTGAGTAAGGCTTAGAAAACTAGGCTCCTGACTCTATTAACTGGGTATATTTTTATGCATATATGTGTCAGCAGCTTAGCTTTTATCACATTGAATTTATTTCTCCTTAGGTGTTGAAAAGTCACACAGTGAAAGAAGTTATTTCTCTTATTGTTTGAAGTAAAAATTTCCATGTGAATGAATAATCTTTGCAGTAACAATTTATGACATTTAATTTTTAACTTAGTCATATCAATGTGGACTATTCATTAGTCATGTTTTTATGTCAGAAAAAACTAACTTCTGGAATTCCTAATTTGGTTTTAACAAATGCAGTGCTTGAGATTTAATTAAGTTTGTTGTATAAAATTTATTTTGTCTTTTTAAGGCTGGCTTGAGTCTTCGTAAAGTAAACAGACATGTAGATTTCCCACTTATTCTTGATTTAGCACCATTCTGTTCTGCTACATGTAAGGTACAGTATATTAAGATATTTCATTGCTTTGCAAATCATATGCATGAAAGTATCCTATGTATTGCTTATTAGGCCATATGTTAGTCATTATTATTATTTTAAAAATAAGATTCTAATTGGGGCCTGAGGTGGTGTGGTGGTGAAGATGCTGTTCTCCAATGTGGCTGACTGAGGTCTGAGTCTTGGACCTGGCAGCTTGAGATTCATGCAGGGCACAACGTGCACATGTACCCAAAATTCCAAGAGAATGGGAGAGAAGGGACTGCAGCAAGGCCATCCCTTCTGGGGGATGGGGGTGGGTGATTTCTCACTTTCTCTCCCTCCGTCTCTCTCAGGTGAGCATGCATGGCCTATGGGAAAAACAAAGATTCTTCTCTGAAGGGAAATTTTAATTTTTGCTAGAGGGTGTATGTGCTCACAGGAGACAAAGCCAGCCCTAAATATGTTTTAATTTGTTACATTTTTTTTTCCTATAGGGCACTTGTGCTCGCCAGAGAGAGAAAAAAAGCACCCCTTGTGGGGGGATGACCACATCGCAGTCCCTGCTCCTCCATTCTCAAGGTTTGGAGCATGCACACACCCTGCCCAACATTTTTCTCAGGCCTCTGGGTTCAGGACTCAAAACTATACAGTCAGCCATGTGGAATCTTGCCACCTTAATCTACATTACTCTTTCTATTCATGCTCTAGGAGTCTGCCGGGACCATATTTAGCTACTAAGAGCTACTTCATGTCAGCTCATTTTGACATGACAATAGTGGTTCTTTTCTGTATGATTATGCCACAAACTGGATATACTGTTCATTTGTGTATTTTTTTTTTTTTTGAGAGGTTTTCGCTATAAGGTGTGTGTGATTGCCAGAAAGACAGAGACAGAAATTGAGAAATCACCCCTTGCCCAGGGGTATAGCCACGCCACAATCCCTTCTCCTCCATTCTCCTCCTAGGATCTTTTTTTTTTTTTGGGGGGGGGAGGTTTTTGCTATAGGGAGCGTGTACTCGCCAGAGGGAGACAGAGATAGAAAGCGAGAAATCACTTTCCAGGGGAGGATGGCCATGCCACAGTCCTTTCTCCTCCATTCTTCTCTTGGGATCTTAGGAATGCATGCACACATGCCTAGCATGAGTTTAAGCCACCGGGTTCAGGATCTGAACCGTGGTTGACTACATGGGAGTCCAGCAACATAGCCATTACACTAACTGCTGATCCCCCTCTCAGGATCTTGGGTGCATATGCACTTGCGCCCAGCATGAGTTTAAGCCACGGGGTCTGGGACTCAAACCACAGTCAACTACATGGAAGTCCAGCAATGTAATCATTACGCCATCTGCTGGCCCCTCATTTGTGTATTTTTAAACTTATGTGTTTAGGGACTGCTTTTTTAAATTATTAATTAAATTAATTGTTATTAATTTGACCATCAAGAGAGAAAGGGAAAGTGCAAGCCTTTAGATCCAGGACTTGAACCGTAGTAGGCCATGTGGGAGCCCAGCGCATCAACCACCATGCCCACGTGCTGGCCCCTTGGGAATTGCTTTTTAAAATTTAACTTTGTTTAATAGTTATATAAAATATTTATATAGTTTCAAAGACAAATGTATCAAATGTACTAAACAAGATAAATTCAAGTCTACTTTTCCCCACGTCTATTCCACCTGTTTCTTCCTTCACCTTACAGAAAAGAAATTTTTTTTTGAGAGAGATTTTTGTTATAGGGTGTGTGCACTTCCCAGAGAGAGAGAGACAGAAAGTAAGAAATCACTCCCCGGGGGCAGGAGATGGTCATGCCACAATCCCTTCTCGATCCTCTTGGGGTTTTGAGCATGCACACACATGCCTGGGAATGCATTTTAAGCCACAGGGTCTGGGAGTTGAACTGTGTTTCTCTATGTAAGAGTCCAGTAACATAAGCATTATGCTATCTGCTGGTCCCTAGAAAACCATTTAAAAAATAATGGCTTATATTTTTCTGTTGTCATTAAAATAGAAGCAGATAGGTAGGTATAGCTGAATCTCCCCTCTTAGATAATGGTAGTTTCCACCATGTATCCTTTTACTACATTCTTTTTTTTTTTCTTAAGAGATTTTTGCTATAGGGCAAAAATGTGCTTGCTGGAGAGAGAGAAACGGAGACAGAAAGCGAGAAACCATGCCCCCTCATCATGCCGTCCCCGGGGGATGACTACTTCACAATTCCTTCTCCTCCATTCTCTTCTTGCTCTTAGATAATGGTAGTTTCCACCATGTATCCTTTTACTACATTCTTTTTTTTTTTCTTAAGAGATTTTTGCTATAGGGCAAAAATGTGCTTGCTGGAGAGAGAGAAACGGAGACAGAAAGCGAGAAACCATGCCCCCTCATCATGCCGTCCCCGGGGGATGACTACTTCACAATTCCTTCTCCTCCATTCTCTTCTTGGGATTTTCGGATAATGGCTTATATTTTTCTGTTGTCATTAAAATAGAAGCAGATAGGTAGGTATAGCTGAATCTCCCCTCTTAGATAATGGTAGTTTCCACCATGTATCCTTTTACTACATTCTTTTTTTTTTTCTTAAGAGATTTTTGCTATAGGGCAAAAATGTGCTTGCTGGAGAGAGAGAAACGGAGACAGAAAGCGAGAAACCATGCCCCCTCATCATGCCGTCCCCGGGGGATGACTACTTCACAATTCCTTCTCCTCCATTCTCTTCTTGGGATTTTCGGCACGCATGCACACGCACCCAGTGTGTTTTAAACCACGGGTCTGGGACTCAAACTGTGGTCGACTACACAGGAGTCCCGCAACGTAACAATTATGCCATTTGTTACCTTATTCTTAACATTATATATTGGAGATTTTTCCAAAGTAGTATTCAGAGGTAGTTTGCCTGCACTGTTTTACAAGGGGTGTAATACTCTATTTTGTGAATACATCATATATTATTCAAGTAGTCCCTGATTTATGGACATTTTGGCCTGTGACAGCCTTGCACATTACAAATAGTCTTGCAATAGTCTGGTACATGTCTTTTTACATTTTGCTCATACAGTTGTAGGATAGAATCCTAAAAATAGGTATGATGAATCCAAGAGTAAAATATATGTAATTTAGCTAGTTAACATGAAATATTCTTGTATAAGGATTGTAGCCCTTGATTCTTATGCAATGTGTGTATTATACTTTTTCCCTAAAAAAAAGCTTTTGCGTTTTTACTATTTTAATACACGTGGGAAGGTAGCTCAATGTAGTTTTAATAGACATTTATTTACTTTTCTTTTCAATAATATTTTACTAAGTATTACTCATTTGGATTTTTTTCTTTGTTTAAAAGAATGTAAGCTTGGGGAGTGAAGTTCTTTATGGTCTTTATGGCATAGTGGAACATAGCGGCTCGATGAGAGGTGGTCACTACACCGCTTATGTGAAAGTGAGAACAGTCTCCAAAAAATTATTGGAGCATATCACTGGAAAGAAAAATGTACCAGGTATGTATCTTAAGTGTTTTTTATTCTTAAGAAAAAAAAGGATTCTTCCTTTCCTGGAAGAGATGTTATTATTTGATGGGCATCTCAAGTGGACTCACTTTGTCAATGTTAAGTGATACTTAAATCCAAGAGTGCTTGATCTTAGAGAATCTTAAATAGTGTAAGACTGTATCTTTCTAGACAATATGAAGTGACATATGGCTCTTCAAGGTATTGGGTCATTGTATCCTGCCATCAAGCTGTATTTTATTTAATGATACAAGAAGTTTTTGAAACTATATCAAGTCATCAGTATAGAGTTGGAGCTTAAAATCTGCTGACTTTGCTCATGGGTCATCAAACTAGGTTTGCTTTTTTCTTTTTCTCTCTTGGTGACAATTATCCTTTTCCCTGAGCAATTAAATAGTTACAAGGGTAATATTTCACTAGATATTTAAAGTATTACTAACTAGGGATAATCCACGATTCTTTGACATTCATAAGATTCTTTGAAAAAATTCATTTTGAAAGATGTTTAATCCAAGAAGAAACGAATTATTGTAATAAGACCTAGCATTAGATAAATACAGCTTGTAATGAATGTCTTGCTGTTTATAATTTAAAGAACATAAAACATACTTACTATAAAACTGTACATTTTTGTGTTTTGTTAGGTTTGAAAGAAGCCGATAGTGAATCAGCAGGCCAATGGGTCCATGTCAGTGACACTTACGTTCAGGTGGTTCCAGAATCGAGAGCACTTAGTGCACAAGCTTACCTTCTTTTTTATGAAAGAATATTATAATCATTCATTCATGGTTCATGTTAATGATGATGTCATTTTTATGTGAATGCTGCATTGATAACCATAACATACAATGTGCCTTTGTAGTCTGCTCTTTTCTGTAGGAGGAAATAGCACGATAGCACGTCTTTCAAATGCTCCTGAATTTGTCATCATTTTGGTGAACCTTTTAAAGTAAATTAAATGTACTCAGTACTTTCAAATTTATATTATATTCTTAAATGAAATAACATGTTTTTTTTTTAATATTTGTCCTGGGGGACAACCCCCTCCCCAATTTATTATAGGAGAGGAAACCCCTTTATGATGTATGATTTATTATGAGAAGCATGCAGAAATGATGCTGGCTCAATTCAATCATTGCTTAAGACAGTGTTTTCTAAGTGTAATACCACCTTTCTAATTTCATATAGATATTTCCTGTGCCATTAATTACTTAGTATTTTAAGTTTTTAGTCTTATTTTTAACCTTAGCCTTGTTCTGAGCAATTATATTCCATGTTTTAAATGCCTGTTATATTTTTTCTAATAAATATTAAAATAAACATACATATAACTAATAAAGAATTTTTGTCCATGTACCACTCTATTTAAAATCATCTCAGGGCTGCCCAGTGGTACAGAAGTACTACTATCTGGAAAGTGTAACTGTAACACCTAAGTACATGAAGGAACACCTTGTCATACATTTTATGATTCAGCCATAGAAAAAGGAATCACTGTAATTTCAGTATCATAGGTTCACAAATAACATATTGGTTAGATTATTACTTAGAAGTTTAGAGAACTAAAAATATTTAAACATTTTGCAAATATACTTTCAGCCTATCATAGTGGAGTTAAGGATAACTTGAAGGTTGTTTGCCAAGGCCAAAATATATTGGGTCATCAGAAAAATCATGGTGTATTTTTCTATACAAAAATGCGTATAGTTGTATAGAAAATAATAGAACCAATAATTATAGATAATTAGAACATACATAATTGGTAAACAGATGATAATCTATATGGAACAGAAGATATCTTTGAAGTATAAATTATTGAATTACATTTGTAGATAACAATATATTCTTGTACTTAACAGGGACAGATAGCACATTTTATACTTCTCTATTTCAGTATTAAACATGGTTTTGAGATCACTTTTCTTCATCTTTAGAAAGCATTCATGTGGAATGAGTTCTTATTTTAATGGGGCATATGGCTCTCATTTTCGATTTTCTTTCAAAGAAAATAATAGCAAAAAGATGGTAGTTTTCACCCTTTAAACTATAAATTATTAAGCTATTGAAACTTGGCATGAAAAATATTACTGTTACTTAGGCTTAAATTTCAAAACAAGTTGCCTTTTCAGTGTCATATTATTGAATCAAAACATTACTGCATTGTTCAAGCATCTAATCATTAGTGCAAATAAATAGTACCACAGGCAAGAACTCGGGGTGTGCCAGTCCCAGTTCATTTTCCTCTTGGAAAGGGATAAAAATAGTGGCTTTAGATATTTTGTGAGAAAATTTAACCAAGGCTGACTCTTTTAACATAAGTATATATAATATTATTGTTATCAGTGCTGCCTTTTGATAATGCATGAAATGGATTTGTGTTAAAGATGGTAATAGTATACAAAATGCAGAGCTTTACAAAGTCATTGAGCAAATTCTATTTTTAAGTTGCTAAAATTTCAGTAGTAGTATTTTTCTTGATTCTAACAATGAAATCATGGAGAAATACATCTTTATAAGTTAATATGCAAAGTCAGGATGTATACTGTAGAAGATAGTTTACAGTATTTTCTGTTTAACTAATCCATTGAAGATTTCAGTAGGACAGCAGTGGATTTGAAAAAATATATTAGGTAAAATTTTTATATTCAAGTCAGCTATATTGGTAATAGGGAATATCATTCCTTTCTCTCAAATGAAGTGGATATTAGGTCACCTCATTTTTTCCTAGAAAAAAATATTAAGCATGCACTTTTCATTGGATGGTCACCTATTTCTTGTTTCAAAGATAGATATCTAGACAGACATCCATTTCTGCTACAGGTCAGACACTGTGTGGACACTATTTTATGATCTTTTTAAATGAAAAGATCTAGGGAACCAGCAGTTAGCGTAATGGCTATGTTGCTGGACTCCCACGTAGTCGACCGCGGTTCGCGTCCTGGACCCGGTGGCTTAAAACTCACGCTGGGCGCGTGTGCGTGCGTGCCCAAGATCCCGAGGAGAATGGAGGAGAAGGGATTGCGGCGTGACCATCCCCCCTGGGGGGTGACTTCTCGCTTTCTGTCTCTAATGTCTCTGTCTTGCCAGCGCACTCGCCCTATAGTGAAAATCTCTCCCAAAAAAAAAAAAAAAAAAGATCTACACAGGTTTTTAGACATTATTCCAAAAATATCATGCAAATAAGATACTTTGGGGAACAGCAGATGGGATGGAGGTTAAGGCAACTGGATCCCACGTGGCCAACTGTATAGTTCAAGACCTGTATATATGACTTGAAAAACACTCCAGGCATGTGTGCATGCATGCCTAAAATACCAAGAGGAAATGGAAGACAAGGGACTGTAAAGTGGCTATCCCTGCTGTAGAGTGATTTCTCACTTTCTCCCCCCACCCCCTTTTGGCTAGTCCATGCATCCTATAGGAAAACTTAAAAAACCAAAACCTTTTATTTTTATTTCCTAGTGTTAAATGAGCAAATTCTGAAATCTATTTTTTTTTTTTTTGGTCCTAGAATTTGTGATTTTTTTTTTTCTGAAGATAGGGTAAATTTGATTTGACACTCTAGAATTTTCAAAAATAGCTTTGTAATAAAGAAAGCAGCTAAATTATACATTTAATTTTTTTTTATTTTGAGTATTTCCAAAGCACATTTGCAAAAATATTAAATTATGAGGCTACTGTAATAACAATAGTTTCTAGATCATCTCAGGAAACAGTACAAATACATAAGAATGTTTACAGATCATCAACACTGCTACTATAGTGTTTGACTAAATGCATTCAAGAAGCAAAACAGAGATTTCACTAGCTTTATTTAGAAATTGGTTAACAGGGTATGGCCATTCTCAGATTTCTCTAGTTTTTTTCGTATTTAAAATGATAAAATTTTGATTATGTACCAGTTATGTGAATTTTTGACTTAACCAAATATACATCTATACTTAAGATTTTGTCATGTCATGGTTTTAAGAATTATGTGAAGACCTACCTTTCTAAGTGGCAAAGGAAAGTGATAGTTGGTATCAATTCAAAGAGTAGTTGATACCTATTCTTTTTATTAAGGTACCAACAGAGCTATTTACTATACTTAATAGCTCTTACCTAGCATGTGTGAGGATTTTTATCAGTGATCTTATTAAATAGCTGGATAAAATTTCCTGAAGATTAAGCTGTGAAATATATTAATCTCATATATTTTTTGTAGTACAAAATAACATCCAGCTTAATTTTCTGAAGTTTATATTCACAACTTATTTTTCTGCATGATACCTGATCAAATAGGCCTAAACTGTTATGTGCAATAAAATTGAGCTTTTAAGTACTATCTGTTGCATTAAGAGACTATTTCTATATATTTAGTTTTTGTTTATGTAGGAATCAATTCAAATTTGCTTAGAAGATTATATTTTTGAGTTTGAGTAATAAATTCATTATGTCCTTCCTACTGTTTTATCTTTACTTTTTTTGCAGTGTTTTTAGGAAATAGCTATGTAACTTACTGAGCATTATTTTGGTGTTATTATATAAACGTGGTTAATAAATATTGTTCTTACTTGATACAAGAGAGTCCTGGAGTTCTTGTATGCATTGACAAAATCTTCTATCAACATTGTATTTGCTTCTATCCTAAGTCTACTTGGGCTGCTGCAACAAAATACCATAAACTGGGAGACTTACTAACAACAAAAAGTTAGACTTCTCTCAGTTTTGGAGCCTGGGAAATCCAGGAGATTCAGTGCCAGCAGACTCAGTGTCTGGTGAAGTGAGGGCCCACTTCTGGTCAACTGACAGCCTTCTTGTTGTGTCCTCACTGGTGGAAGGGGTACAGGGTCTCTCAGTGTCTCTGTTATGAAGACAGTGATCCCCATTCATGAAGGTTCCACTTTTATGACCTAATCACCTCCAGAAGATCATACCTCCAAATACCTTCACAATGGATACTTGTGGATTTGGGGGGTGGGGGGTGGGGTGGGCATAAAGATGCACTTACGGGCCAGCAGGTGGTGTGGTGGTTAAGAGTGCTGAACTCCCACATGGTCGACCACGGTTTGAGTCCCACACATGGTGGCTTGCTTTCTCACTTTCCCTCTTTCTCTCTTTCTCTCACTCAGTTCCTCTCTGGTCAAATTATAATAAATAAATAATTCTTTTAAAAAAATTCACTGAATAGCAGCTTCCTCAACTGTGTATCTTGGGTTACTTTCACTCAATTTTCAGTATCTACTAGAGTAAATCTTCATCCTTTCACATGATTCTCAAAATGTTTGAGTTATTTTGACAGGATAATTCATTAGGTAATATTTTATGTACCTGATTGTGTTTAACCTTTTCTTGGATCAAGAAGATCTTTAAGATAATGATCAAAGTTATGGGCCACCTTTCATCTGTTCAACCATTAAATACGTGTTAATTGAATACCTGCTCTATAGTAGGCATTAGGAATGCAGCAGTGAATACAAGGGACAAATCCAAAAAGGTGGGGAATGAGGGAAAGATATGTCAAGTAGTAATGAGACAGAGGAAAATGAAGCAGAATTACCTACAGAGCCATGTGGCAAGTAGGGTCCAAGAGGTGAAGAATGTCCTAGGGATAAAGGCACAGTGAGGGCCAGCAGGTGCTGTGGTGGCATGGTGGTTGAGGCACTGGATCCTGTATGGCCAACTGTGCATTTCGAGTTCCAGACCCAGTGTCTTGAGAAACCACCAGGCATGTGTGCACCTGTGCCCAAAACCCTGAGGGGAGAGTGGAGGAAAGGGGATTGCACTAGTCACCTGGTCTGTGGGGTTGCTTTCTCACTTTCTCTCTCTCTCTATGGCAAGCATGCAAACTTTTTAGTTTCAAAAACTAAAAAGAAGATTCGTAAAAGTACAGTGATATTAGTCCTAATAGTACCAAGGATAAGCTGAATATTGGGGAAAGGGTGGGGCTTAATTCTGGAGCCCTCTCTTCAGGCAAAATAGAGACTAGAAAGAGAAATCTTAACATTTGTATATTCTCAGAAAAATAAATGTCCAGGGCCAGGCAGTGGCATAGTGGTTAAGGTGACTGGATTCCACATGGCCACCTGCGCAGTTTTAAGCACTGGACACGAGGACTTGAAGAACATCCCAGGCACCTTTGTGTGCGTACTCAAAATCCCTAGAAGAGGGAGCAACGGAGGAAAGAGACTGCAGTGACCATCCCTCATGAGGGGGTGCTTTCTCATTCCCCTCCCCCTATCTCTTTCCAGTCAGTACAAATGCTCTCTGAAAATTTTAAAGAAACGGGACCAGCAGTTAGCATAATGGCTGTCGCTGGACTCCCACGTAGTCAACTGCAGTTCGCGTCTCGGACCCGGTGGCTTAAAACTCACGCCAGGTGCGTGTGCGTGCGTGCCTAAGATCCCGAGAGGAGAATGGAGGAGAAGGGATTGCAGCGTGGCCATCCCCCCTGGGGGGTGATTTCTCGCTTTCTGTCTTTCTGTCTCTGTCTTTCAGGTGAGCGCACGCACCCTATAGGAAAAAAATCTCTCAAAAAAAAAAAAAGAAAAGAAAAAAAGGAAGGAAGGAGAGAAAAAAAGAGAAGAAAGAAATGAAGAAAAGGAGGAAGAAAAGAAAAACGTTATGTCCCAAGTATTTGTATGTAATTTCAGAGGTTCATGGGCTCCCTGAAGCCAAAGGCAACTGCTCTCTACACGGCTACTCTGCCAGCCGATGATTCCATCTTGTGACTCTACCATTGCAACATCAGGTTTCTCCACTGTGGCAGAGGGGGAAATATTAAAAGGTTATATATCAGTAATTAGGTTCTGCATCTTGGATGTGTCACTCTCAATCCATTGGCCAGAAGTGTCATATGACCCTGCCTAGTTACATTACAAGGAAGGATGACTAGGAAGGGTATGTCTCCCTAGGAGAAAGGAAGACGGTAACATGTAAGCACCCCTAAGTCTCTATCACACCTACCCTCCGGGTCTCCACATACCCAGCTTACCCTTCTGTCTATACGTGGAACACAGTGACTCTCTTTTTTTAAAGTATACTATCCAAAAGTTCCATCCACGCAAAGTTTTATCCTATAAGACCAGGCTCTCTAGAAGTTCTATGCCAGGTCTAACTATTGCTCCTACTGGTCTGGAGGCCCAGGAACCAAAAGGATATATTCTCTTTTCCACATACTTAATGTACAGCAGTAGAACAGGGAAACTGTAACCACGATAAACATTCTTGTTCAGGAAAAGGAAGAAGAATGCAAGATACTGTCGGGGTCCCTTACCCTGGGCATGTGATATGTTCATGATTCGACTTCTTGTCTATTCTCTAGGAAGAATCCCTTTGTTGTTCTCTGTGACCTCAGACTCTCTTCTAGAAGGATTTTTTTTTTAATTAACCTTGGTTATATCTGAATCGCTATTGAGGAAAATGCTATCTTCTGGAGTTGCACAACTATGACTTCCTAGAAGACTGGGACTGAAGTTAGTACTAATTTTTTTTTTTTTTTTAATTTGGAATAACCACATTCTTTCAGCTAAGGCTTATGTGTGTTTTTTTTTTTTTTTCTGTTTGTTTTTTGAGATAGATTTTTGCTATAGGGTATAGTATATGCGCTCACCGGAGAGACAGTGACAGAAAGCAAGAACTCATCCCCTGGGGGGATGGCCATGCTGCAATCGCTTCTCTATTCTCCTCTTGGGATTTTGGGTGGACACACACACACACACACACACACACACACACACGTGCCCAGCATGAGATTTAAGCCACCAGGTCCAGAACTTGAACCATGGTCGGCTATGTGGGAGTCCAGCAATGTAACCATTACGCCACCTGCTGGTCCTAGCTTACAGTTTCTTTTTAGCCCAGTTCTTAAAATTTTAGGCCTAGCCACAGTGATACACTATGCTCTGTATACTGGGAGCATGTGGGAAGCCCAGGTTTGATTCCCAGTCTGACTTAATGGCCAGGCATGTACTTGTATCCCCACAATTCAGGGAGGCTAAAGCAGAAGGATCACAAACTTAAGGCTGGCCTGGGAAAAATAGCGAGGTCCTGTCTAAAAATACCAGGAGGGCCCGATGTTGCAGATGGACTCACATGGGCAGGTCCCTGGTTTGTGTCATGGAGCTTTCCTCTATATCCTGGGCACATGTGTGTCTGTGGTCTGAGCAGGTTAGGATGGATTATGACATGGGGACTTTGATGGTGATGCTTATCTTTTTTTAAAAAAATATTTAATTTATATTTATTATTATTTTAATTTGACCAGAGAGAGACAGGGAGAGAGAAAGTGAGAAAGCAAGCCGCCAGTTCCAGGACTTGAACCATGACTGGCCACGAGGGAGTCCAATGCCTTAACCACCATGCCACCTGCTGGCTCCACTTCTCTCTCTTAGAAGAAATAAAGTTAAAAAAAATAAAACTAATAAAAGAGCTGAGTTTTGGTGATGTGCATCTGTAGTTTTGGCTGAGAGGCCAAAGGAGGAGGATCAAAACATGGTGGGGGGGACCAGCAATTGGCGTAATGGCTATATCGTTGGACTCCCAAGTAGTCAACCACAGTTCCAGTCCCAGACCTAGTGGCTTAAACTCACACTGGGTGTGTGTGTGTGGGTGCCTGGGATCCAGAGAGAATGGACAAGACGGGATTATGGTGTGGCCATCCCCTGGGGGGGGGGTGATTTCTCACTTTCTTTCTGTCTTTCTGGCAAGCGCACATGCCCTATAGCAAAATCCTCTCAAAACAAACAAACAAAAACATGGTGGGAGCTGCCTTAACTAAACAAAACAAAACTTATCAGGCCTCTCCCATCTCTTTCTAATCAGATTCACGTGCCAGTAACCCTATCAGAATTTTCTGAGACACACCATTCTTGAGGTGGTTATATTTCTTTGCTTTCCTGCCCTCATACCTCTCTCTATCTTATGAAAGCTACTTTATAAACTTTGATGAGACAGTCATACTATTAACCACATTTCAATCCTCACACAATTCCTTCCAAGTGAGGAAAAAATTTAGTGTTCAAACTCTTAATCTATTAACATATTTTTTTCCAGACCAGGTACGTTTATATCCTTAGTTATGATCTTTGCTACAAGGCTGAGTTTTAATCATCCTTTGTCACTTACACACTTCCTCAAGTTTATCTCCTGCTTGGAGTTGAACAATCCAACTTTGTAAGATTCGGAATTTTTGGTTATGTTTATTTCCCCCTTTTTTCAGCTTTTACAAGCCACCCATTCTTTTTTGAGCTCCTTTTTTTTTTTTTCCTTAATACTACTTTGCCAGATGTATCCAGTAACACCCACCATACACTGTATCTTTTTTTCACTGTCTATAGGCAAATTCATTATATAGGTTTCTGCCTCCCAGCTTTTCATGGGTAACAGTTACATTAAATGTTTTACTGTTACATTATAGAAAGTGCAATGTTTCTAACTTCCGCTTTTTGTTTTAGTTTGCCAACCAACCTTTAAGTTAATGGTTTTTATTGTTTCAAGATATGTTAGCCTTAGAAGTTTATTTCATCATCATGAAGGCTTTTTCTTTCTGTTATTGTTTTTTCCAGATTGAGAGGTCTTTCTGGCAACTATTTCTTACCAATCAACTCAGTGATCTAGAATGACGGCTGAGGTACCAACCTACTCCCAGTCTTGTAAGCAGAGGTCCAGAAAGGTTTCATCACTTAACCCACAGCATGCTGTCCAAAGGCAATTCACAGCGTGTTTCCTATCTTTAAGAGGGCTTAGAAATACAATCTTCTATGTGCTATACTATGGAGAATCAGAATTGGTGAACACTAATGTTTACCATGTCACAGAAGTGAATTAATACAGAAATAATAGTTTGAATCACAAATTAAAAAGTTTTACATAAGAAAATGAAGTCTTGAGCACAGTAGGTTTACCTTACTTTTCCCAATCTAGCCTAAATGGCAAGTACCTGCTTATTGTTTAGTATTGTCCATTGTTAAATAACTATTAATATTTCATATCCTCCTTATACTTCATTATGCCAGATACCCTCACTACTTTTTAGGAGATGCATAAATAACTATCCTAAGAATTAGAGTTGTGGGTTGGCTCCATGGACTAGTGGTTAAGGGGCTGAGTCCCACATGACGGACTAAGTGGTTTGAATCCCAGTCCTGGCTTGAAAAACATGCTGGGCCCATGCGCATGTGTGCCCAAGACCCCAACAGGATGAAGAAATGGAGGAGAAGGGACTGCAGCATGACCATGCCCCACTGCGGAACGCTTTCTCTCCCTCTCTGTTTCTCTCTGGTAAGTACACCTGCCTTCTGGCCAAAATAAATAAAAACAAAAAAAAACCCAAAAAAACAAAACCAAAAAAAAACAAAACACCCTGAGAAAATTGGTATGGAATTCCTTGCCTGAGGCCAGACCTGAAGTGTAGTGGTTGGGCACAGCGCATTAAGTTGCCAGAGCCCACAAGGCTGACTGTGGTTTGAATCCCATCCCTGACAACTTGAAAAACACTAGACGTTTATGTATTGTTTTTCTTTCTCCCCCTTTCAAGCACACGTGCTCTTCTGCAAATAAAGAGAAAAAATACTTATGCTTTCCGGATCTCTCCATCAGATCACAGTGTTATATGGAAGTCCTAGAGAAGAGTGGTTTGGGGAAGGGTAATGAAACTGTAAAACTTTCTGGTCTGGCAAATACCAGTGTATGGTCTCATTAAACTGACACAAGACACAAAATGTGAGGTGTTTAGTAATCCCCTCTACATGTCAGTGGATACATGTACAAAATGATCACCCTACATTGGGGTTGCTGTTTAAAATATTAACCTTTTGACAAATGCAAAGATTTCTGTGCTCTAAGCAATATGCTGGGCACTTGGAGGGTAGAGGTGGGCAAAAAAATCCTTGCCCCCAAAATTGCCTCAAATTTCTTACGGAAACAAGGAAATAATTACAGGATTACAGGGAGTAGGACCATCTCACGAGGGCAATTAGGTTCAGTGAGAAGTAGTTCCCTGATTATGTTTCTCATAGAAATAAACTCGAGAATAGAACCTATGCAAAAAAACATGGAAAATATACAAAATCACAGGTCAAATCAGGGGTAACTACTAATAACAGGGTATATACCCTTCTAGAGTTTGTTCCATTCAGTGATTTTAAAAATCATACTAGACTGGGACCAGCAGATGGCGTAATAGTTGCCTTGCTGGACTCCCAGGTAGTCCATCATTGTTCGAGTCCGGGACCTGGTCAGGACCTGGCGGCTTAAAACGCTCGCCAGGTGTGTGTGCGTGCCTCTTGGGGGTGATTTCTCGCTTTCTGTCTCTTGTCTCTTGGGCGACCAAACGCGCCCTATTGCAAAAATCTCTCTTTTAAAAAAAAGAAAAGTTTTACGTTACTTTCTGGGAAGTCACTTCTCAAGATTTAGTTAATAAACCTATATCTTTGGAACATTTTTTTTTTCTTGCAACTTATGGCTCCTAGCTGAAAACTGGTACTTTCGATACCTGAACGTTGTTCAAGTTAAATGCGGTGGAATCGAAGTAATCTTTTTGAGAAAGTGCATTGCATACGTCCTTTAGGGAGGCCATTTTGTAGTTGGGGGAACCGAGTAGGGCAGAAACTAGACCTCCTTGCCACTTTTCCTTTAAGGTCACAGGGAAAGAATGAATTATCTGGACTAGTTGGGTTCAACAGAGCTGAGCAAGTGTCCCCGGGAGAAGACGCGGCGCTCTGAGATTAACAAAGGCAGTGACCGCTGCGGGGTCACTCGAGTCTCCGGTTTCGTTACGGATCCAGACCGGCCACATTCACAGGCTCCGGGAGGCGGAACCCTGTGCGGTACTTAGTGAGACCCTGGCCTTGGGCACTCTGAGAAGGTTCGAGCTAAGCGATGGCCTACCTGAAACGCCCCTCTGGGCGCACCGAACAACTAGGCAAGAGCTGGTTCGCTTTGACCCTGGGACTCTTCCGTAGTCTGAAAGTAGCGTCGGGAATTCAGCCCTTTTCCGAAGCGGGAGTGTTCCCTGGGGAGAAAAGTATACTTGCCCTTCCACGAGGATCACGTTGCTAAAGTTAAAAAAAAAAAAAAAAAGAGGCACGTCGAGGACTTCGTGTAGAACACTACTTAACCTCTTGGCTTTCGGCCCACTGTAAAGAAGAAAATGGGTCGGGAATGGCGCCGGCTACCTTAAGAGGTAACGGACAGAGACCATCAGAATTGCATGGTATTGACCAAAGAGGCGAAGGGAGTTTGCCCGTAACAAAAATGGTGTCGAAAAAGTTCCACCCGCTACGTCACGTGTTCGTAGACCAGGATGAGGGACTGTATGGCTTCAGATGACGAGCGGATGTTGTTATTCACTTCCGGGTAGGACCAATCGGGCGCCATCTTGTCTTGTTCGTGAAGAAGTAGAAGCATCGAAAGGGTTGGAGAGGTATTACAGGAACGGTGGCGACAACGGTGTTCCGGAATCAGAGTGGGTAAGTGATGGAGAACAATTACACGTGGGTTTTCGGGCCATTACAGTCCTCTTGGCCTCTGTGGCAAGATAGCATAACTTAAACGGGCTGCGTACTCTGCTTGGCGCGACGGCTGGAACCTCATTCTTAAAGCGGCGGCGTACGTTGGGGTTGGTAAATCAGAGTGGTGCTCTCGGTGGGAAGGAATCCTATACATTAGAGAAAGTCCCAACGACCTTTTTTCTAACTAAGAGTTTCCTCACCGATGAGCAGGGACTAATTGTTGGGCTCCTGGCCGGCCGTTAGGCACTGCGCGTGCGCAATGGGAGCCCCCTTACGGGGTGGGGGGTGCAGAGGGCGGAGGAGGCGGGGGCCGGACCTGAAGCTTATATCCGACTACGCAGGCGCGGCCAAAGGCAAATGTGTTCTAACTACAGTTAAGTTTCTTAGTTTGTTTGTTTCTTGTGTACTTATCCAGAGGTGGGCATTGTGTGTTGCGTTTCACGATGGAAACAGTATCGATAATTTCAGTTTTATTCTATGGTGGGTAGTAGTGTCTTCTGAACAAATTGGGCTCTAAGCAAATTTTAATTGTAGGCGGTTAAATTAACATTCTAGGTTAAGGTCTTAATCCCTCATTAATATCTTTTGCTCCCTCTGCCCCCAGACAAAACAAAATAAACTCAGTTTCACATTTGAGTGCAGCGTGGCAAAAACAAACCAGAACACTAAACTTGTTAGACTGTTCCGTATGGTGTCAAGGGAGCTATAGGGAAAGTAACAGTAAATCAGTTCTTTTAAGTGTTCTTGAGAGGCTCTGTGTTTCTGAGAAATATCTATAATAGCCTTTATTTTTTTAGAACAGTTTTTGATTTACAGAAAAATCGAGTAGTTAGTACAGAGTCTTCATATACTCTCTCATCTGCATACACACAAGAGTTACTCCTCTTAACATGTTTTGTTACAATTAATGGACCAACATAGATAACTCAGTATTAACTAAAGGCCGATTTATTTGTTTCCTTAGATTTTACCTAATGTTATTTTTCTGTTCCAGGATTCCATCTAGGAGATCACATTACCTTAAATTGTCATGCGTCCTTAAACTCCTCTTGGCCTTGACAGTTTCTCATGCGTTCCTTGTCGTGACTCTTTTTGGTGGGAGGGTCTATAAGGAGGTAAAAGTGAGGTCATTAGTGTGAACCCTAAACCCCTATTACTAGTGTCTTTATAAGAAAAAAATAGGACACAGGGGGGAGACTGCAAGCGGAGGAGTGAAGCCTCAGAATGATTCCAACCCTGCTGACACTTTGATCTTGGATTTTAGCTTTCAGAACTGTGAGGAAATGTATTTCTCTTATTTAAAACACCTAGTCTGTGGTAATTGTGGCAGCTCTAGGAAAACCAATGCAGTGACCTTGACATTTTTGAGAAATACTGGTCAGGAATTTTGTAGGATGCCCTGCTTTTGAAATTTGTGAGGTATTTTTTTCATTATTCATATGATCTTACGAGTTTTGGAAGAAGATGATCACAGAGGTAAAATACCCTTTCATCGCATGCAATTAAGGGTACATACTGTGAATGTGACTTACCACATTGATAATGACCTTCATCACCTGCCTGGGGTAGTGTTTGTTGTGATGTTTCTCCACTGTAAAGTTACTCTCCCTCTTCAGTACTGTGCACTTGGGAAGGAAGTGATTTTGCACAGCCCACACTTAAGGAATGGAGAGTTATATTCCCTTTCTGTTTATTGGGAATTTTTCTCTGAGGGAAATTTGTCCCTTTTGTCTCATTTGTTAACTTATTTAATAATTTATATTCATAAGACTTCTTTGACATTTATAATTTGTGTTATAATCCAATACTTCTTTCTTTTGTTGCTCAAAATTGTTCCAGTTTTTGGCCATTAGCGACTCCTTCAGGTATCTATTGATCCCTTTTGATATGCTTTCATCCATATTTAAAATTTAAACACCTTTTTACTACTTGGCTTTACAAAATGCTGTAGACACAATTTCCTGTCACAGTCCTAGAATTGGCTGTTTAAGGAACCTTGCTTCTTTTTATTGAAATATGGTATTAGAACCAAGATCTAGGTGCTTAGGTGTGCTTGTTGCTACTGTGGTGTCATTTTAGGCCTTATCTCTACATTTAGTTTTTAGTTATTAACTATTTTGGGGGATATTTGTAACCATTCTGTCCAGTTCTCCGATATTGTTTTGAATACTTCTCTTTTAAGTTTTTATTTATTCTAAGAGGGTCTTAGGGTCTCATACGGTAATTCACCCCCAGTCTCAGCTAGCTAGGATCTGGGGCATGGACACATGTGTTCTCCCTGCATTGTCTCAGCTCTTTGCTATAGGGCATGTGCGTTCACTGGAGAGACAGTGACACAGAAAGACAGAAAGTGAGAATCCCACCCCCCCAATCCACCCAATGGCCATGCAACACCCCCTTCTCCTCCATGTCACAGTCACTTCTCGATTCTCCTCTCAGGATCTTTGTCGTGCGCACACACGTACCCTGTGTGAATTGTGTTTTGTTTTGTTTTGTTTTGGAGAGGCTTTTGCTATAGGGTATGAGCACTCACCAGAAAGACAAGAGAGACAGAAAGTGAGAAATCATCCCCTGGGGGAATGGCCATGCCGCAATCCCTTCTTCTCCATTCTCTTCGGATCTTGGGCATGCACACACACGTGCCCAGCGTGAGTTTTAAGCCGCGGGTCTAGGACTCGAACCACGGTCGGCTGTAGGAGTCCAACAATGTAACCATTACACCATCTGCTGTTCCCAGTCTCAGCATTCTTGAAAAGGTTCCAGGATACAAAGTCAGGACCTTTTCCTGTATAGGTCCAGTTGTGTTACCCTTTTGTCACTGCCTGGCCCTCCTGAATACCTCTTTTGAGATATAAATTGCAAAATATGTCAGCATGCACTAAGATGCACGTCACGTCAAGTAAAAAACAATGTTTATCATATTTCAAGTGATTATGGGATTTTTACCAGTGCCATTTCCATCTAACTTAAACTGAACAAATGAATTCCTTTTTTTTTCCCTTTTTTTGTAGCGAAGGTTTGTCAACTGTTGATAAAGATTGAATTTGGGGGGAACCAGCAGTTAGCGTAATGGCTATGTCGCTGGACTCCCACATAGTCGACCGGGGTTCGCGTCCTGGACCTGGTGGCTTAAACTCACGCCGAGCGCGTGTGTGTGCCAGCCCAAGATCCCGAGAGGAGAATGGAGGAGAAGGGATTGCGGCGTGACCATCCCCTCTGGGGGGTGATTTCTCACTTTCTGTCTCTCTGTCTCTCTCTCTCTGTCTGGTGAGCGCACACGCCCTATAGCGAAAAACCTCTCAAAAAAAAAAAGATTGAATTTCTCAAAAAAAAAAAAAGATTGAATTTGGGGGGAGGTAAAGAGGATTGTTGTATTTTGTAGCTTCTCAATTTTGTGTTTGTTGTGAGAAGCATTTTACCACATGCATCAAAGAATAGATGTGTTTCTGTATCTCTTGGATCCTTCTAGTGATGCTTGAGGGCTTTGAAACAATTTTTAATTTTCATTCATCTGTTGTCACACATAGTCCGTGAGTGACTTGCAAATATTAGTGATTATCATTTAAACAAGTCGTTTAAGAAGGACAGAACAATGAATGTTCTAATATAGAGTCAAAAGATAAGATAAATTATCATTTGGGGTTGTATTAGTTCCCTAGGGATACTGTAACAGATTACTACGAACTAAGTGGTTTAAAACAACAGAAATCTGTTCTTCTACAATTTTGATTGCTAAAAGTTTGAAATTAGGGTTTGGACAGGGCCATCCATGCTCTTTGATGGTTGTAGGGGAGGATCCTTGCTTCTCTTCCTACTTCTTGGTGGTTCCTGTCAATTCTTAGTGTACCTTGGTTTGTAAATTCAATGGTCCAATCTCCTGTCTTTGCAGTCATGTTGCATTCTCCTTGTGTCTGTCTGTGTCTCTTCTTATCAAGATACTGGTTAGGTTCTACCTTAGTCAAGTATAAACTCACCTAAATTTGAGCACATTTGCAAAGACCCTATTTCCAAATAAGAGCACATTCACAGGTATCAGGCAATAGGACAGGGGGAGGTGGCACAATTCAGTCTATAACACTGATGAAAGTCATAGGCATGATTTTTTTCCAGCAGTGTTTGGTAATTTTGAACACTTGTTCTAAACCTTGATTACTGATCTTTCTATTCTGCCAGATCCCAAAAGTTTTCTAAGGAAATAGATTCCATAAAAGAAAATACTCTTAAGTAAGTCTTGTAGCCTGGCTCATCAATATTCATTCTCCAAACTTGAAAAGTTGAGCCTAATGAAGAAGGAACAAACTGGAAACGATTTGTTTTTAAATTTGTTTCTCATAAGTAAGAGAAACAGAGAGCAAGAGAGTTTCAATGCTGCAGTATGTCCCTAGTTTTTTTTTTTTCCCCTCGGGGAGGTTTTTGCTATAGGATGCGTGCGCTCGCCAGAGAGACAAAGTGAGTAACACACCCCACCCCCACCCCACCCCGGGATGGTCACGCTGCAATCCCTTCTCCATTTCCTCTTGGAATCTTGGGCACGCACGCACGCACACACGCACACACGCCTGGCGTGAGTTTAAGCCGCCAGGTCCGGGACTCAAACCACAGTTGACCACATGGGAGTTCAGAGACATAGCCATTATGCTAACTGCTGGTCCCTATGTCCCTAGTTTCAGTTGGCCCTGGATCACGGGCATTTGTAGGTCTGGTATACTCAGGGATGCAAACATAGAACTATTCCTTGTGGATCAG